ACAGACAGTAAACCAGCATCAAACGAAAGCATCACGACCATCTACTACTAAAATCAGGAGAACCGCGTTTATATGACAGATGGACGAGTCCTACAGTAAATAATACAGGATAATATCAGAAGCAGAGCAGAAACTGGCCGAATCAAAGTTTTGATTCACTATATAAACAAGAAAGTCAAGAAATATTTTTTGTGTTCTAAATTCCTTAAAAATATCGGAACTATTTTAGAAGACCGATGTTATTCATAAATTTCTCTGCAATAATGAAGATTGTAGACTTCTTAAAAACCTACAATACAATAGTTAGACCACAACTACCTTGAGCCGCCTCCTTACATGCCACCTACAATCTGGACAACCTTGGCTCTATCCGAGGGAGGATCACAACGAGTCCATCACCCGACAGGTAGTGGAAGCTTGCACCCGCATCGTCATGCGGAGCCCCGATGCTAAAAGAATTGCGACAGCTACAAACTCACAACCCACTGGAACCTAGGGACTTTTAAATTATTTTCTGAGCAGTTTTGAAAATTAATTTTGCGTTGTTTCCACTAAACTCAATGTTTTCATTAGACACATAGCACGATTTCATGTATTGTAAAACCGTCATGCTACTTGATATTTAATAATTTTCATTCTAAACGTCGAAATATATCTTTTGGTAACTTAGTTTTAAAATAATATACCAACGCCACCAAAGAACATCGTTCAACTCATGGAAAAAACGAACAATAAATTCTATTATTTATTTGTTATTTTATTAGCGAGCAAGCCTGCTTGTTAACAGTAAAAACATTCTCTAGTCTTATCAGAGTAGTATAAAAAAATGTATTATTACGAAGTCTTTTGTTAAAATGAATTTCCTATTTTATGTCTTACATATTTATATAAGACATAATATAAATATCATATTTTATCATATTATCATATTTTATGATACTTATACTTATATCATATATATCATATTATATCATATATACTTATATCATATTTTATGACCCGACAAATAGGGTCATATTCCAACACTATACGTATTTTGGATTCGCAGACGGTTAGCCAATAGTTTATTACAGTTAACGAGCTTCGAACAAGCAAAAAATTAACTAATATTCTGAAATTCCATTATATCAAAGTTTTTTGTGTGATCGAAGCCGGGCGCCATGATTCTATCAATGTTCTTCAAGGGCTTATACACGAGTCTTTCGTACCGGGATATTACCTGGGCCTGAAAAATTATTCTTAGTGACAGAGTCGAAAGGCGCTGTAAACCTTAAAGGAAATGATTTGAAAAAAATATTTCTAAATAGCTTTTTATGAAGTCTACTTAAGAGAGGCAACATAGTTTTTTCTTTCGTTTTTTGAAACGAGAGACAAATAGCGGCTCTGCATGTTTTCTATTTAACCCTCTACCGCCTGACATGAGTAACCGGAGCAATATTATCCCAAGCCTTCTTCCCAAAAAGGATACGTTGTTAGTGAGCACAAAATGACTTGCATTGATCGTTGCCGCCACGTACGACAACTTTAAAATGTTCTCTGTTGCATACGAGCATCCTCATGTTCATACACTCAATAGTTTAAGTATAATTTAAGTTTAGAGTTATGTTCCCGGAGAGTGACATACGGCGGTAGAAGGTTAATTTGTGAGTTTGCATGAGCATATTCTAAACTAGGACACATATGCCTTATTCTTATCAACAGGATTAGAGACAACAGGAATGATGAGATTTTAAATTGGTGGGCTAACCTTGCTACTTTTATCAGTTATATGTATTAAGAAAATACATACTAAGATTGGCTTAACGCACGAATATTGTACGACTTAATTTCAAGGTTGAATGTTAATACATGACTGTGAACATCGTGATTGAATTTGATGGCATAGTAAAGCTTTATTAAGAGCATGCCTTCTATTCAACGTAGACAAAATAGAACAAGTAACTTAAATTTACTCAAGATTTTACTATGAGCTAAAGAAAAACCATTGAACTCAAGAAGCAAACTCAATTTCGAGAACGAGTAAAGTCTTAATGTCGCTATCGCACTAGAAATATTCAAAAGCCGTCTGGTCCACATGACTTGTTGGGATTTTGAGCTACCAGGCGCTTGAGAACCTCTTCTTCGTGTATTTCAAAACCTGTTAGCTTCGAGCTGACTGGGCGCTCCTCAATATCTGGAATACTGTTCAAGTCCTCATCTGTGACTACACTGCTGAAGAACTGATTAAGAACGTTTGCCTTGCCCTCATCGGAGGAAGTCTTTCGTTGGTCTACTTTCAAATCAGAAATACCGTTCTTTGACTTACACTTCGAATATCAATTAAATTCGATAGCATAAAGTGAATTGAAATAATAATTATACTTTTTTCGATTCTTGCAAACATATAAAAACGTTTAAAACTCTATGAACCATAAAATAAATTTTTTACCGTAGCTAAGCAGTTTGAAGCAAGCAAGGGATAAAACGCGCCGCATCTCATCAAACCAAAGTCATTCTGAAATAATATACGTATAAAAATTACTTTTTAAAGACAACACTTCCAAAGAATTCAGTGTCTCTGATCTTACAGATGTACAATGAATTTCTCATTCAATTTTTTAATATTAAAAAAATTAATTGTTACTTTTTTTATTATATAAAACTTTTTTAATATATAAATTTTTTCAAAATTAGTTATTCTGTTATTTGATTCATGCATTGCCTCTGGCTTCACACAATTGTGCAAAATTTGAGATCAATTAGACATGTAAAAGTGTGTCAAATACCAGTTAATAGATTTGTAGCTGACAAAATGATTTTTTCAATTTTTTTAATATTGAAAAAAAAAATAATTTTTTTAAATAATTTATTTTGAAACTTGATTGATGCATTGTCTCCAACTTTACACTAGTGTGCAAAATTTCAGATCGATAGGATAAGTAGAAGTATATTAAATTTCGATTACAAGATTTGTAGCAGACAAACAACAAGAAGTGAAGTTAAAGAGAAGTGTTGTAAAAGCAGGATGAAGTTGTTCATTATGCGTGGAGACGTGGCATTTCGATTCCGGGATTTGCGTAGATATTTCACCCTATTTAGAAAGCCAATAACTCATAGTAAACTGTTCTAATGTAGTGAATTTCGTGACGTGCGCTGTATGGGATCAGTGATGTACTTCCTTACACGGGAACTTCGCGATATAATATACCTACAGAGTCAACAATCAACACCGACCTGCAAGCTTACGACAAGAGCAGCTGACAGCACAAGTTAAACCCTAGTCTTGATAAACAAAGTGATCTTGATTGCAATTTCAATCTACCAAGCAATATCTTGCCCTTTTGTTCCTACTCATGCTGCTCCGCTCCCTTCAATGGCTGAAATAGCATTAGAAAATTTCCAAATAGCGTTCATGGACTTTTAGCGAAAGGTTTTAGAAGGCGATTATTCGATGAACTTGATTTTGAGTTCTGCTATATCAGATTCATTATTAGTTTTTACCACACTCCTATTTTACTTTGATTCCTGTTGTTTGTACGTCTGCTGAAAATCTTATATTCAATATTTAAAACACTTGTACCTGTCCAATCGATCTGAAAATTTGCACACTTGCGTAAAGTCGGAGACAATGCTTGAATCAATTAACAGAATAAAAAATAATTGAAAATTTTTAGAAATTTAAATATTTAAAAATAAAATTAGAAATTCATTGTACATCTGTAACATCGGAAACACCGCCCTCTTTAGAAGTGTGGTCTTTAGAAAAGTACTTTCTAAACGCATATTTCCTAAACAACAGGCGTGTTAAAATTGTTAGAATAGGCTCTGCGGAAGTGAAAAAATAAAATGAAAATCGTACATAAAATTTTGAGTATTTCACAAATTCATTGTTTGATCACTACAAAAAATTTGGTATCGGAGATCTTCAGTAGAATATCTGGATAGATTATTTGAACTTTTGCATATCTGATGATGGAAAATATATGCATCAGTCAGAAGCTTTTCTCAAAATTGAACAATTACTTTAATTTAACTTCTCAAACCACTGACTTTGAATGGAAATTTTGGTGCTTGCAATTTACGGTTCTGGACGTGATTTTTTTTCCCCAGTTCCATTATGGTTGTACAATATTTATAAATATTTAAAGTTTTCTTGTCTTTCGATGGCAGACATGCGCAGAAATTAATATTACAGGATTATTACACGCTATTTCATTAGTACTGAACGTACAAAAATGTTTCTTTGAGGTCTTGCTTAGAAATTGACTTCTTTGCCAAAATTTATCGCTTTGCCCTGATGCAAACTAATCCACGTTGACTCCTTGTCTACGGACGGTAACTCATTTAAGCCGCTGTTGCGTCTACGATTACCATTGCTGCGGTTAATGTATAATCATTAAAAAAAATAAGCAAATAACACTTCTACAACGTCGCAGTAAATCATTATCAATGGTGGTTAGTTGAAAAAGTATCCTCCTCATTCGATAGAGACAACTTGAACTTATTTCTGAATGAGTTTTTGGTCGCGAGGCCCGTCCAGAATACGAATGAGATCGCCTACATGATGTTATATTAAAAGAATCTGCATTTCGTACGCTGAACAGATACTCGGCAAGGACTGACGAAAAATCTAGTTAGCTCACTACGGTTACACAACAACACTTGTGGGATATTTTGTACATTTTGTGAGAGAATTTATCTCTATTATCAAGAAACTTAAAAAAGTGTTACCTGCAATAAATTTTCTGCATTAATTAATACATTAATAGCTACGAACATAACTTTTATTCACAAAATTGCCCATGAAACGCCATCGGCCGTATAAGAACGAACTTTAATACAGATGGATATCACTAAAGCGTCATTGCTACTTTATCAATCGACAGCCGAACACGGATTTTCCCGCGATATATTTTTAGAGGTTAGAGATGCTGCTTTCCATGCCTTCTCGGGGGCTTCAAACCAGTTTGTTCGCAGGCGGATTTCTGCCTGAGCAGGTTTGAGTTGCGCAGTCTGGTTTTTGTGCGAGTGTTATTAGCAATTAATGCACGTCGAGCAGTTGCTGTCGTGCCTCGCTCATACCTGGTCGTCTTAGGCTTACTGGTGCTGCAACCGAGGACAAAGGATACATGCAACTATAAACAACTCACGAACCTGCAATAGAAGTTATCAAGAAAAGCTCAGATTAAAATTACACTGGGAGGATAAATGATATAGAGCGAGCTTTTGAATCTAAATTGTATTTGTTCTGACCCATAAAAATTTAAAATTAATATCAAAGATGAAGCTGGTGAGTCGCATTTTAATATTCATAGTCTCTGTGATCATAGGAAAACACTTAATTTCGTCCTTTTCTTACAACTGCCAACTGGCTTGAATGTTAACTCACGTGCTGTCATCTAGAAAAAAGTCTTGCCGAATATTTTGTTCGTAGTTCTTAGCATTTTATTTGTATCAATAATGTGCTCCATCGACTTCATCTTATTACATTATTCCATTCCTTTCTGTCTTCAAGGTTATTGGTATGTTGAATCCCTCATTTTAATTCCATACAAAATAAGATAAAATCGTTTATTTGATGAATTTCAAGATTATTACGACATAAAAATATTATATGATAATATTTGTTCCGCCATTTTTGTTGAAATATTAGCTGTAATTAAAAAAATTCCACGTGTCTTTATTCGCGCTCCCGATCCTTTCAAGGTAAATTATTTTTTCCTTCTGGAAATATCTTCTTTAGAAACAAGTTTTGAATCATTAAATAACATTTAAAGAACGATTTATAAGATTTTTTTGTGAAATCAATATTACATAATTTAAATGATCAAATAAATTTTGATCATTCAACATATTGTTTCTGAATGTGAATTGAGTGCTTTTTAGCTCAGAATAATTTTTATAATATGGAATGATGCTGAAGGCTTTTCTCTGCAGTTGACTTTGGTGATGGCGCTTCTGGCTTGCCTCTCCCTGGCCGTTGGGATGCCTGACCCTGAACCTCAATTTGGCTTCGGCATCGGATTCGGGAGAGGTTTCGGTTGGGGCTACGGCCGTCGAGGATTCGGAAGACGAAGATTCGGACGTCGAGGATTCGGCTTCGGGCGAGGATTCGGACGGCGTGGATTTGGTGGTTTTAGATTTGGTCGTGGATACCGAGGCTAAGGAGTAGATAATAAAATCGTTGCACAGGCAGCAGTTGACGCAAATGTTTTTGGTTTATTTTTTTATTGTTCTTCAGGATCTTATTAGTTCTCTTTAATTATTTTTTTCTTTTTTTTCGAAAATTCATCCATAAGGGCATTAATGGAATGATAAGCCGTATTTGGTTAGAGTAAATTCTATAATTATTGTGATTTTCAGCGATATTTTTATGTAGATTATGCTACAAAGGGCATTATTTTGATATTTAGATCATTAAGAAACGTCTTTAACATACTTAAGCCTGCCTATGTGTCAACGCTAGATAAATTCAAATGAAGTTTTACAAAATTAACATCCTTTGTTGCCTCCACATTTTCTGGACTCGAAAAAGAAATTTCTGTTCCAGTGAACACAATATTTAACGACATTCTCCCTGAATGAGCCTTGCATTTTCATATTCTAGTTGTCATAATCCTCCATAATATTTGTTTAGAGAATACAAACCGTATACCATCTTTCTTGAAACCAAACAGCTCATTTTGTTCGCTATTTGCATTTCAACAAACTTCAACTAAAACCATGTCTTCAAACATTAAGGCATTCTAAAATCTAGGGGCATTACACGTACAAAAAGTCCATTGCTTCTCTACTGTCGGGCCGACATCTTTCTGTCCTATGTCTCAAGTGGCATTCAAACCACTTCCGTAAAATTAGCCATCATTATTATCTAATAAGTTCATGTATCGGTTATGTTTCTTCTATTTCTTTATTACAATATAAAAGTAATTATCATACCAAGCATAAAGTTTTTATTTTGAGTACAATAGACTTCAATACTTATTGCAACTCGAGCAATCATCCTAACTCGAGTTTACATATCTGCGTCTGGCATCTGTCAATTGAAATTCGTTCAAATTTGTTGTAGTTTAATTTTTATTTTGCGCTTCATAACCAAATTAATTAGGCTGTTTATAAAATTTTCCGCATTTTTTATTATTGGTGTTTTGCGTTTGATGGATGATTTGTATTTTGTTAAACCAATTGCAAATTATTTTGATCAACGGGACTGATTTTAATTACAGGGTAATTCACGAATACTTCTTGTTTTGTAATTCGCGCCAGCAGCCAGATATTGTAGGAAAAGGACAGAGAGTATTTTATATGCAAGACAAGGTCATGAAATTTTGTCTGCCGCAAAGTCGGTTGCTACTATATGCATTGGACAAGTGAGCAGCGTGCGTTTCCTGTCGAGACGTACTTTTCAAATGGCCGTTCCATTATAGCTACTCTAAACTTTTTTAGTAATACTTTTTCATTTAGACCAAAATGAAGAATTATGGAAATACTAATAAATCTAATACATAAGTCCCCGACCTGCAAACAAAAATTTGACATATGATAATAAAACAATCGAAAATTATTTACAGTATTCCAAATTTAACTTTAAGTATACAAGTTTTACTGATGTGAGAGCTATCGACGAAACTCAAAAATTACATGCATAACATCACACGAGTTACACGGTTGTTTGCAATAAACAATATTGGAGACATCGACATGTATGTGTTTTTTTTATATTAAAAGCTAAGGTAATGTAAATTTCAGTCAGAAATTTAGCAATTCCGGATGCGATCTTTCTAATGCAAAAATCGGGGCCAAAAAGATATTATAAAGAGGAAATGAAATTGTGAATGGACATATTTTTTGCGTATCCAGATCTCTCAGCTGTTTAACTGCAACCTATTTACAATTGATACATGACAAGTTAGCCGTTAACATACATCGGTAGTTTCTGAAGAAAAATATCTCTTTTTCAGAATACCAGCAAGTAGTTAAAGTACAAAAAAAATAGGAAGAGCCTAATTGTGTTATTCTAGGAATAAAATGCCCAGAAGTCTAAATGTGCCTGTTGAAAACACAATTAAATGAGCAATATTTGTGTTGATGAAAATATACATTATAGAGTTAAGGTCAGTGTTTATTAGTTCTTACATAAACAGTAGTAATTACTACTTGCATAAAACTTGCATAAATAATGATTTATTAAACTTTTGATTATTATATAAACTTTTGATTCGATAATTTGATTATTTTAAACTCTTAAAATGGTCCTCACAATTTTTTTTATTTTTCGCCAACCATAACATGCTCCTAAATTTATGCGGACTACGCCTCCCAGTTGGGCAAGTGGAAACTCCAGGAGTCACTAAATTTAGCACGTATTTTGTACATGCTTCTAATTTAAATCCTGACGCACGCTGGTGTTACTAAAGCAGAAGACAAAATTTTCATCCGTCAGTAGCACGCTAGGCGCCTTCATTCTTGGTCGCTTCTCTGGTCATGTCAGGAAGATTTTAATCCTCAAGCCCTCAATAAATCTCAAGTCTCGGAGATCAGATGTGAATCCAACGACTTAACCTGCATCATTATTGGATTTTGAGGACGAATATAGCAAAAAATGATTTATTTACGCCAAAAAATCAATCAAAAGCTTATTTGTTCAAAAAAATAAGAAGCCTGGGGATAATTTTCAAAAGATCGAAAGTATTTTCTTTCGAAAAGATCTAGAGATAGCCACTGCCCTCTAAATCTTGCTTGCATCGCACCCTCTACAGAGATGTTTGTTACAAGAAACTACTGAAATGAGACCATAGAAAATCTACGAAGACCTTGATTACTAAAACGATTAAATAAATGAAATCTCAACGCAAATTGTGAAAGTGATAGAACCTTAAGAATTATTTTCGGATTCGATTTAAAATTATTCTAAGCAAATGAAAACTGATTTTTAGATTTGAGAAAAATAAACCAAACTACTCGAAAATCGATCAACAATGAGGCTGGTAAGAATTTAATTGTAAATAATGGAATAAAATCAAAAACTTACCTCAATGTTTGTTAAAGTGTGTATTGAAATTCATGTCAAAAGCTCTCGGTAATATTTACTCAAACAATTTTGTTCCCATGTTCCGAGAGCCTAAAATTATTTTATATTAAAAATATCATAACTGGGAAAAATGAGAAGACACGCTACTGTTGCAGACATTTCCCAAAATAAATTCCATTGCATCTGTTCATCGTCCGACGATTATTAGATGGATGCGAGGCCCGAAGCTTTGAAGCCGTGTGCCTCTACCACAGATTCGTGAACTTAATCACTGAAGTCACAAGCCTTTAGCTTGGATACGTGATCTCCGTTGCTTAAGGCTTATGCATGCAGCCCTGCTTCTGCAGACAGGAATCCATGGGATCTCATAGAGACTACGTTTGAATGTATAATGGGTTTCCTGCATTGACGTACAATTAATTCACTATTTTGCAGTATTTTTGCGTGGACTTCCGAGTAAAATAACCATTCTATACAAAGCTACCATTTTTACATGAGCTAATTATATTCATATATGAATTGTGATGTGCGAAATTAAAGCGAAACTATAGTTATCTGTGAAGACGCCGTTTGTTCCGTGAATCTATCCTATTTTATCGAATCTCCCACAAGTTTTATAACTCAAGTCAACTTCCCAATTTGTGTTGCTTCAAGAAAACTTTTAACTTTTTACAAAAAGGTTTTTTTCATGGAGATTTTTTTGTTTCCCGTCGCGTTAGTTTTCATCGTAATCTTGAATTCTCCAACATGCATTATTAGCGCAGTATCAGTTAGTTAATCTTCGTGAAATATTTTTTTTATGAAATCATCTCATTCTGCATTAGTTCACTTCATCTAATCACCTTACAATTGATTAGTTCTGGGAGTAAAATTTCATCTTCAGCAGATGAAATTATTTGTTTTTCACGTTCAGATCGTGCTGATTGTGGCATTCATAGCGTGCTTGTCTTCGGTCATGGCGGCTCCTGAGCCACAATTCGGCGGAGTTGGTGGCTTCGGCATCGGCATCGGCGGTGGAAGGAGATTCGGCGGACTCGGAGGACGGCGGAGGCTGAATCGGCGACGATCTATCTTCTCGAAATTCAAATTAATAAAACGACTTTTCACTCCTCGAGGATTTTCCTTCCGCAGATTTAGAGGCTAAAATGAGCGTGCAAATAGTTCAGATCACTCCTTTTTCCGAAATTGCCCCTTTTATGAGAAATTCTCTCTTGCCTAGAATTAGTATAAAAACTTGCCAAAAATTTCTAGATTATCAAATTTAAAAAGTTTGTAGTTCAATTACGTTTTTCAAAACTTAAAACCTCAGAATTGGATCTTTGCCTCACGTCTTTAGCGAACAAGACGCACAAACTTAAACGAAAGTTCGACATTTAGTTGGAAGCTTAGCATGACAAAAGAAGACTTTGTTTTCTAATCGGAACATCAGAAATTCGGTTAAAGAGACACAAATAAAACATTCAAATTTTTGCACAAATTCATTTCTGAAAAAAAAACATGTTCACCAAACATCAACATTCGTAATTAGACTGTTAATTTGTGTATGCATGCGAAGGTTGCTTCATTTTCACAACAGAAAAACAAATTCAAATAAAGTTCTTATCCCCTTGATTTTGATACGTATGTTTGTTTCACTGTACTAGCTGATAGGTACTGGCTAGCAACACTAATGAATGTGTTTAAAGTTGTTGCAGAGTTTTGGCTCATTTGGTCATATAGTTTAACTTTTAGAACGCATATGAAGATATTAAAGAGCAAAAACCAAACCGAAATATTTTTGTTTCTTTTCCCGCACTATGAAGTTAGGCCCACGATTCCATGCAGCTCACTGATTATTTTAATGTTTAAACAAACTAAATACAGTAGAACATTTGCGCAACGATGTAAACGATGTATTTTTCCTAAAATGTAAAAACAAATTTTAACTATCGACAAAAATGATGGGAATGTTATTTATCTTATTAATTTTGAAACATTGTACTTCATTGAATAGTGGATGCTTAATTTAGATCTGAGCATATTTTCGAAACTTCAAGAATATTTTCAAGGAAAAGGCCATTTATGTATATCATTTAAGGTCGAATGTTAAATCATTTGTTTCTAAAAAATATTATTAATTGTTATAGATGAGCATAAACAATAACTGATAACTACGACGAAGAAAAGACTCAACGAGATCGCAAACTTGCAAGATAGCGATTAAAGACGATTCAAAGAAAATATTGTGGACGCATTTTTGAGATTGGCACAGATATTGAACACATTAAATATATTTTAGCTGCAGATCATACATAAATATTTGACATTTCTCTGGGTTGAAGAGAACCGATAGTTAATTATCAGATTCGTGATCATTACCATCACTGTTCTCAATACAGCATCCTTTCAGTCATCGCAATGTGGTAGTTTAATTAACGCTTAAAATGTGTTCGGACATAAAATTCCATCCCAAGTTAATACCTGGATTCCGAATAAATTTTCACCTTTGCTGATCTGGTACGAGTTTTCTGACCGAGACACATGGGGTTCGACGCTCCAGCGTGCAGCTCTGCGGGCGCCGATTTCTAATGCATGCGTAATTCCGGCAATCTAATAGCAATTCCCATTGAAATTCAAACAATTTCATTTCATTTTTAATACAATAATATTATGTTCTATCATAAAAGCGAGAGTGACAAATAGCCGTCATTAAGCAAACAGCGTAGAGCTGCAGGTCTGCACATACCAAAAAATCGGAGTAAAGCGGAATATTTCATGTATACTTTTTTGGTATAATTTAATCGTCGTTTCAATTCTAGCGAGCTGAATTCAGATCATCAATGCATTCATGAAAATAATGACAATTTAAATGAATCAGGTAGCTGTCCAATATCCATTAGCTCTAAAAATTAGATAGTGTTCGGCGATGCTCGTGCTCATAGCCATACTGATGTACTGATGTGCTCGTGCTCATAGCCATACTCTGGTTACATTGATGTTTTCTGAGGATACCCCATTTAACTGATACCCCATTTGTATAAAAAATTGTTAAATACAAGTATTTAGCCATAATTCCGATCAATTAACCGTCTATATAGTGCTGCAGTCTCGCCAAATATCAATGAATTTTTCAAATGGGTCGTGAGTGCGCTCGTGTAATGTATAAGTGGTGAAAAAATGTACAACAAATACAAGTGTTTTGTATGATAATACTAACATTAAAAACTTCTTTACCCTTTTCTATAGGTACGCGTACAGGATACTGTCTCACATTAGCCAGTTTGGACAGTAATCTCCACTGCTACATGTATTATTGCTCTCTGCGATAATAATTCTCTATTTGAACGAATATTTCCAGCTTTTTGTTTTTGTTGCTGTACTTTCTCCTCAACATACATAAAGAATACGATGTGTTTTCAGGCATATCAAAGATGAAAATAATTCGTTTATCTCGACTACATGCACGAGAAATTTTCTTATTCATGTTAGAAGGCGACCAATAACCAATTACCACACCTAGACGCTCTTGTTTGCAGCTGTGTGCAATGGGAAAAATATTTTTGATGCCGGCCTAATTTCTAATCGCGGGTTAACAAAATGACTGCGAAATAATGCGTTCGATCACATCGTCGCAAAAGTGAGACTAATCATACTTTAATTACATTTGCTACACCTGCTGATTACATGTTATTTGTCTGTAGGTAAGCAAAGAAAACGTAAAGTAAATTCATCTCATCTTGATAAAAATTTTGTGGAGAAGAGCCCCATCATCAGTTCAAAACGTTATTTAGAATTTAAAAACAATCATCAAGGAAGAATTAATTATACACGGAAGCTATTAAAACTTGTCTAAAGAGAAAACGACAGAGGAACGAAAAATCAATCGATTTACAATTGAACGAGGATGAAAACTGTAGGAACGCATTATTAAGAAAAGGTTGCCATTTAAACCACGAGAGAAGAATCGGAACATCTTGATACTGCTCTCCGACACAGTATGAAGGTGCACAGCAGAGTGAGAAGATTAGAAAGTGTAAATTTCGAACGAAAGCTCCGAGCGCGGCGTTCAGAGACTTGGATGCATGTACGGAAGTTATGTGACGTCTTTCCGACATACGCAGATAAATAACATGCGCAACTGTATTATTTATCCAGGCTACACCGCATCTGGGCAGGAATATTGTTCATTGTTCTAAAGAGGGAACTAATTTTGAAAATATTCACTAGCAAAATAGGCAGGTTATTACACCGAACATTTTTTAGAAATAAGATCTTCAATTCTCTTCAATTCAATAACATTCTTCAATTATGTTTCAGACGAGCTACCAAAGTAGGGAAAAGTACAAAAAATTAGCCACTATGTTAATATTTTCTGATAGAGTAAAAAGCTGATCAGAGACAAACCGCTCCAGGTCTTGGTCATCCCATCTTGTTCATTCTAACTGCTCTCCGACACAGTATGAAGGTGCACAGCAGAGTGAGAAGATTAGAAAGTGTAAATTTCGAACGAAAGCTCCGAGCGCGGCGTTCAGAGACCTGGATGCATGTACAGAATTTATGTGACGTCTTTCCGACATGCGCAGATAAATAACATGCACAACTGTATTATTTATCCAGGTTACACCGTATCTGGGCAGGAATATTATTCTTATGTCTAACGAGGGAACTAATTATGAAAATATTCACTAGCTTCTGGTCCTGGTCATTCCATATTGTTCTTTCTTAGCTGATAAATCCTTGTTTGGCAAAATTTTATCGTTGATTGTTAGCCCTCAAGAAGGTTCCTTCCAAATGTACCTTCACTTCACTACCTCCCATCTTCAATGCTCTCAAATTTGTTTGCGGTAGCTCAGTTGCGGCGCATAATAAAGAAAGAAAGCAAAAAGTAAATAAAATCATCACAATTTGCTTTAAATAAGGTCGCATTATATCACTTTATGTTTAGCATCAATGATTTAGATTCTAAGAAAATTCGCAGGTTTTTTATTGCATAAGGTTTCATAACAATTTCACTAATTAAAGTAGCTTGACTTCTTAGCTGCTAACGCCTTGATTTGTGAAATTTAAGAATCTTTTCTAGAGCGTCTCTTTTCCTGTTGTCGCACAAAAGTATTTATTTGTGCATATCCTGGTTTATTGGAGACGTCTTATCACTAATTACAAACAACTCACAATAGCTTGACCCCCGATGTCTTCGTAAACTTACCAGAAAAGGCAATATTGGGGTTCGGAAATACGTATAATCAAAGCTCTATTTCATGTATAAAACCTATTATTAGTACATTTGAAGATGAAAGAAATGAAATTCGTAAGCTGAATAACCATTTAAAACACGTACCGAGTGCGACAAACAGGCAAAATTTAAATGTTGCCACCCACGCCTGCAACAATCATCGACTAATGTGTAAGAATTTTATGCCAAATTATCCTGATTAATTAAAAAAAAACATTGGATTTCCAGAGCTTCCAACTTATTCATTATAACATCTACTCCCTAGAAACGAACATTTAGTCAATAAGCGTTAAAAACCAGATATGCAAGTTTGGTGGCCTTGAAGAACATCTAAAATTACAGTTGGTGTATAAAATCCAAAAAAATATGATTATTTTGGCATTCATTGATTTCGGGTATTTTATCCATAACCGATGATTTGAACGGTAAGAAACTTCATTTGTAGATATCTTGACCAAGGTAAGTAAAACGAAAATAAATTCTCTGAAGTTTAGTCATCAAGCAAATTAGCAATAAGAAATGTAGTTATTAGGAAAGAAACATAAGGACATTAAAGGTTTACCAAAGACCTGCAGCGTCAATCCTTAAAACTTTATTACTATTTTGATTCCAATTATTTCTTTTGCTCACTAAAAGGTTCACTGTTCAAATTATTTATTGGTAAATGCTTCAGTGCCCACCGAGTACTGAGTGGAGTATCAGTTCCGAGTTCTAACAAGTCCTCCAGGGAGTGAAACATCGGTTTCGAGTTCTCACCAGTACTCCAGGGAGTGGAATATCAGTTCTGAGTTCTCACCAGTACTCCAAGGAGTGGAGTATGAGTTCTTATGAACAATATTAAAACGAGTGAATTTTTTGCTCTCTAAAATCAATCATAATTTAACATCATTCACTAACTAGGCCTAAGATATTGACGAATTTTGATTGGCCATCATAATGTATAAGTTCACGTTATATATAATCATCGAATCATTACAGAAATTCATAAACGCAATGCTGCTGAAATTCAACAATTTTAATATTTACTTATTTTGGCTATGTTCCCAAATGTTCACTCACGTTTGAAAAACAACTTTGTTATAGATAAAACCCCGTCCTTGTACAACTTAATAGTCTTAAAGTTTATGGTAAACTTAAATATCTTACAAAACCTTTTCAATTGATGTTTCAATTAAAATGTATGCAGACATTTTCCGAAAGTCTAGTGCCGTCAAAATACCTTCGAAGCAAATCGAAAATCATTACCCGAAGAATTCATTACTGTAACGCTCGTTACTGAAACGTTCGTTACTAAATCCAGCAATCAACTTTGTACTATAATTAACAATCCGGTTTACGAGCCAAAGATAAACAAAATAACTTTTCGGAAAAAAATTCATATCTACTGCATACACTCTACCGCACACTTACCTTCATTGTATTGTTTGTTCGGTGTAACTTAAGCTGAGTACGGCGTCTTGTTCAAGACTGGGCAAGTCGGGACTATATCAGGGCCTTTTTATATCACTTCCAGCGGCCTGCGGAGCGCCGCGCCACATAGCATCCTGTATGCGAGGATGT